CTGTGGGTGACCAGTGGCAGGTGAGACTCTGCACCTTCCTGATGTCCTGTGCCCTGCTGTTCCATAAGCCTGTGGGTGACCAGTGGCAGGTGAGATTTGGTACCTTCCTGATGTCCTGTGCCCTGCCGTTCCATAAGTCTGTGGGCAGCCAGTGGCAGGTGAGATTTGGTGCTTTCCTCATGTCCTGTGCTCTGCTGTTCCATAAGCCTGTGGGTGGCCAGTGGCAGGTGAGCCTCGGCACCTTCCTGATGTCCTGTGCCCTCCTGTTCCACGAGCCTCGGGGTGTGGGGCGGCAGCTGTGGTTTTTGGGTCCAAACGTGAGCCTTTTTCAACTCAGCCACTTCTGGGGCCCAGGGTCTGTGTCCTGAGGGGCAGTGGTTGGGGCTTCCACTGTGGGTGAAGGGAGCGGGTGCCTGGCTGGCTTATCCCGTGTGGTGATGTCTGTAGCAGTTCTTTTTTCAGGAGAGTGTGTGCCCCCCACACCACACTTAGTGATGAAGTTGGCACTCAGTGTGGCTAGGGTGTGTGAGACTAACACTTGCAGGCTGGGTTAGCACAGCCTCGGGCCTGGAACACGGGCTGAGCACTCAGGAGCACGTAGAGCCCCAGGTAGAGGAGGGGGCAAGGGCGGTGGACTGAGCTGCTTCCTTGCTGGGGGACGGGGCGAGCCCTGTACCTTGTCTGTGTCGCTCCTGGTAACGTGGGAGCAATGCCGCTGCCCGCCGTGTCTCACGGGGTTGCTGTGTAGTTGAGTGGAGTAGGTGCCCATTTACTAAAGCTCATTTGAACACTTTGGAAGCACTTTTTTTCTTTCTTTATTTTTTTTTTTTGAGACTGAGTTTGACTCTTGTTGCCCAGGCTGGAGTGCAGTGGTATGATCTTGGCTCACCACAACCTCCGTCTTCTGGGTTCAAGTGATTCTCCTGCCTCAGCCTCCCGAGTAGCTGGGATTACAGGCATGTGCCACCACACCCGGCTAATTTTGTATTTTTAGTAGAGACGGGCTTCTCCATGTTGGTCAGGCTGGTCTCGAATTCCCAGCCTCAGGTGATCCACCCACCTTGGCCTTCCAAAGTGCTGAGATTACAGGCGTGAGCCACCGCACCTGGCCTGGAAGCACTTTTAAGCTATCTAGCTTTTTTTACCTGAGAAGTGGCGGGCCACATGATGTCCCCAGTGGGTGCCTGTTGCACCTGCTGGAACCCTGAGGTTGATGAGCTGGGTGTGAAGAGCTCACCCTGGCATCATGGGCCAGCTGTGGGTGCTGCCTCCCCAGGTCTCCATGGAAGGTGAATGGGGGTCACCAGGCACCAGACGGGGACCTCCCCTGCAAGCCTCTGTGGCCAGTGTGTGTTGCGTCCTGGTGCTGGGTTTCCAGGCCTGCCTCTTTCTGATGAAGGTTTTCCGTTTGTCACCTGCAGTCTGTTCCTGAGAGCGCCGTGTTAAAGAAAATCTCTGGTGTTCTTCGTGGGAACTGGGCCATGCTGGAAGGTGAGAGCACAGGTGCAGGCTGCCCTTGGGGGTCACACCCAGCGCGGTCCCCAGAGAAAGCAGAAGCACACACTGTGACCCGCCCGAGGGACCCGGTGTGCAGGTAAAGAGGGAGGGTAAGCGTGTGTACCCATCTAGAAGGCGGGCCGGGGCAGAAGGAGGATGGCGCACAGCAGAAGGAGGACCCCCCCATGGGAGTCAGGCTAACGAGAGCCATGCAGGAACTGGGGGCTCAGGGTCTGAGCAGCATCCCCCACTCACCACCTGCCTTCAGAGTTGGCATTGAAGGTCCCCAGGGCAGGGCTGGCATCTGGTGGCTCCCAGAGGGAGCGGGCGCTGTGCTGCCTCGGGCCTGGTCCATGGTGTTGAGGGAATTGATCCCACTACAGCGTGCGTCAGCAAGTGCAGGACCCCACTGGGAGGTCAGGTGGGGGTCCAGCCAGAGGCGTGGGGGTCTTCAGGAGGCTGAGCAGAGGCTGGATGGTCACTGTCCTGACGGGAACATTCAGCTGAGGGGAGGGAATCTGGTCAGCAACTTGTGTGGCTGCGGCTGCAGGAAGGAGAGCAGTTGGGCTGAGGGAGGAGCTGGACAAACATTTTTGGGGGACACGGCACACTGTAATTCTGGGTGTGCCATTGTGCCAACACTGCGCTGTCTTGGAGGCGATGGTGTCTGCAGGATGGGTTAGCCCAGCACGGAATCCAGGTACCTCATTCACGACAGGAAGTTGCTGCTCTGAGGAAGTCTTGCAAAGCCAGACCCGCTGCAGTGAGCACTGAGGTTCCTTGGAGCTCCAGAGGGAATCAAACGCAGGTCGGAGGAATTGCCGCTGATGGTGGCCCGACCGCCTTCCACCAAGCTTCCTGAGTGGTGGTGGCGCACTGGCTCTGCCTCTGAGGCTTCTCTCCCTCCTGCTTTGCTTAGGATGTTGAGGGTTGAGACAGGCAGGGTTGGGCCCCCCCAGTGTGGTTGGGATCTGCTTTAGGAACACTCCGAGTGGGCCTGTCACCGGCTGTGTCAGGGACTGCAGGCGGCAGTGCTCATGGCTGGGCATCTGCAGTGCTCATGGCTCCTGTGCTCTAGGCCACAGGTAGCCTGGACCTGTTTAGTGTCACCTTGCACAACATTCTCAGTCCAAAGCCTGGGCTCGCTCTCCTGAGACGTTTCATAGATAGAGTGGCACGTTCCCCGCGCAGACCTGGGGGCCTTGTTGGGAGAGGGACGGGGGAGGGCTGCTTCTTGAGTGTCCCACAAGCAGCAGAGTCACTGGAGGGGCGGGGAGGCTGTGCCACCTGCCGGATGGACGGGCTTCAGGCCACCGCTGGTGCGTGAGTTACCGGCTGGGCCTGTGGTTTCCTGGCCAGGCTGAGGCCGTCTCTGTGTGCCTGTGGTCAGTCATTGCCCCCTAATCCTTGGCACTTAGATAAAGTAGATGAAATCCATGTCCATTCCCTGTGGCTGCAGAACATGTTATCCCACACTCGATGCCTTAAAGCACCCCACCCTGAGTGTCTCACTGTTGCTGTGGGTCAGGGGTCTGGACTCCGCTGAGCTGTGTCTCTGCAGGTGGCCACCTCAACTTCACCAGGCAGGGCCCGACCTCGCTCAGTCCGGGTTGTCGGCAGGACAGGGGGCCTCTCTGGCTGTTGGCCAGAGGCCGCTGCTGCCAATCCCTGGCCACCTGGGCTGCTTCACTGGGCGGCGCATGGTGCAGTAGTGGCTTTCTCTGGGCGTGTGAACAGAGAGTGCTGGCAGGGTGGAGGCCCAGCCTTGGTGCCCTGGTTTCCGATACATTCTTTCGTCTTTGCCCCGTTCTGTTAGGAGGCAGTCCTCAGGTCCAGCCAGGGTGTGGGTACCAGGAGGTGGGTACCATGGGGAACCATCCCAGAAGATGCCCTCCACGGTCCACCGAGGACTCCGGGTGTCACAAAGTAACTCCCAGCTGCAGGGGGCCCGCTGTGGTGGCTGAGTCCCATGTTCCTGCCCCACCTGGCACCTATCCTTGTTCCCCCATCACAGGCTGTGCTGGTGCGGACGCCAACTTCAGCAGTCTCTACAAGGCCACATTCGACAACGTGACCTCCTACCTGAAGAAGAAAGAAGAGAGACTGCAGCAGCAGCTGGAGAAGAAGCAGCGGCGCCGGAGTCCCCCGCCCGGGCCCAACGGACAGGCCAAGAAGATGAGGCCCGGGGAGGCAACCTTGAGTTGCTGATTGTGGCGGTCAGTGGTGCCTCTCACCTCAAATTAGGAAAAGCTTTTTCACTTGTTCCCCTGCATCCTGGCATCTCCCTTCAAGAAGGAAAAGGTGAGGTCAGTTGTGACCAGCTCAGAGGACGGGACTGTCCCCTGGGCTCTAGAAAGAACATGCTGTGTCACCAGCACAGGCTCTTGCTGGGTGCCTGTGCCCCCTTTCTGGTAGAAGGGAAGCCAGACCAGTGGAGTGGAAACTCTCGAAGCGCTTCCTTTTCACGTTGGAGGCCGCGTGCGAGCCTGTGGTGGCGGCAGCTGTGTTTCTGCTGTTCTCATCTGCCCCTCATGTCTGCTGCGTCTTCCTCTAGGAGCATCTGTGGGCTGATGTTTCTGGCACAGTGGACTTTTTCATGTTGTTCCCGCCGTCTCAGCGTCCAGGTGATGCGCTGCCCCGCAGTAGCCGCTCGCCGCACAGGCTGTTGAAACGCAGCATGAACGCTTCAGCCCGCCCCAGCCATACCCCTGTGCTCAGGAGCTGCTCCTGGAGAGTGGCTCCCCTGTGGGAAGTGAGAAATGTGTTTCGGAGTCGCAGGGAGCTCTGTCCGGCAGCGCTGGGGCAGACGGTGAACTTGTTTCAGGAAGTGTGAGCACAGGGGCCCGGCTGGCACCCAGTTTACAGGGAGGTGATTGAGGACGTTGTTGTGATCTGATTTGACCTTGGCACACACTGCAGAGCCGCAGGGATGTTGCTGAATTTCAGTCACCAGTCAGCAAGGATGAACCTTTGCAACCTCCTGGAATGTTTAGCAGCAACATAATGTACCAAGCAAAACGCCTGGGTGCCTGCACTTTGTGCGAGTGAGGTGCGCATGCGTGCATTGGGAAGAGGCTTCTGCAATGGGCAGGCTTTTGGGTACATCACATAATTCGTTCAGGCCGGCTCCTGCCTGCTCTCCAGTGATGAAGTCTCCACACAGGAACAGGTTCATGCTGGCGATGACTTTGATGTGGGGTATCGCTGGGGACTGAGAATCCTTTTGTGTATCAAAAGCTGGAATGCTTCAAATTTTTCATAAGTGCCTTGTTTTCCTTTTAACACTGATCTGGAAACAGTGCTGTCTGCAAAGCTGAGGCCCACTCCTCTCTGCTGGGGATCAGGGGTTTTAGAAGGCAGGGGCCACGCTGGACCACCATCCTGTACGAGCAGCCTGGTCTCCTTCACGCTGCTGGGGCAGCTGGCGCAGGGCACACTCTCTCGTTCGTAGTCTGCTTTGAAAGTCTTAGTTTTAGGAGAGGTTCAGGTTTGCCTTGCTGGCATCTTCACCTAAGATAGGGGCTGGCAGACAGGCCCATGCGCTGCATCCCGCCCACAGCCTGATAGATGGCCTGGGAATGGCTTTTTTACGTTTTAAAAATGGTTGAAAACAAATTAAAAATATATTTCGTGACATGAAAATCATGAAATTCACATTTCATTGTCTGAGAATAAGCTTTTATGGACGCAGCCATGCCTGCCTGTCCACGTCTCATCTGTGGCTGTTTTGTGCTACGGCCGCAGAGCGAAGGGGCCTGGACTGAGACCGAATGGCCTCCCCACAGGGCCGCGTCTTTCCACGAGGAGTGCAGGGCTTCTCCGAGGCTCTGCTTCCTCCCCAGCGGTGCCGGCTTCCTGCTATTCCTCAGCATCCTGCCTTGGTCCTGAGTTGGTCCCTCTGCCGGTAGCCGTTTGCGTGTCTCAGTGGATGGTGCAGCCGCCTTCTTGCTGGTACCTTGACTGATAGACTGGTTCCTGTTCACCTGCCCGAAGTCTCCCGGAAATACCTCGTACAGTTGTGTGGGTGGAACCCAGCTCGGCATGTGTTTAGAGTTTTGTCTGTTGCCCCTTCACCCAGAACAGCAGTACCCACCGCCTTTCTGTCCGCTGTGACTGCCTCGCAGCTGGGTCTGTTCTGTGAGACGTCGCCACCCTGATTGCCATCTGCGAGGATCTCACGCCTTCAAGTTCATCTGCTCCCTTCCGTTATTTTTTAGTTTCTGTGTATTCTACTTTTGGGACATTCCTTGGACTTTGTTCTACCTCTTTAATTAAGAAAATGTGGTCATTGTATTTTTTTTTTTTTTTTTTTGAGACAGAGTCTCGCTCTGTTGCCCAGGCTGGAGTGCAGTGGCGTGATCTCGGCTCACAAAACGCCCCCCCCTGAGTTCAAGCCATTATTCTACCTCAGCCTCCCAAGTAGCTGGAATTACAGGCACCCACCACCACGCCTGGCTAATTTTTGTATTTTCGGTAGAGATGGGGTTTTGCCATGTTTGCCAGGCTGGTCTCCAACTCCTGACCTCAGGTGATCCTCCCGCCTCGCCCTCCCAAAGTGCTTGGATTATAGGTGTCAGCCACTGCACCCAACCTGTTGTATTTAATTCTAAGCACTTTCTTCGAGACTGTCTCACGCTGTCACCCAGGCTGAAGTGCAGTGGTGTGATCTTGGCTCACTGCAGCCTCAACCTCCCAGGCTCAAGCAGTCCTCCCACCTTGGCCTCCCAGAGTGCTGGGATTACAGGCATGAGCCACTATGCCCAGCCCCTCTTTCTCCATTTTGCTTACAGTATGCGTACTGTACATCTGAAAAGTGCGTGTGAAATACTAGAACTGGGATTTCAGCAACTGAATGCACGTGTGTGACTACCCACGAGAAGCAGGACACTTAGCACCTGCTGAGAAGCCCCCATGCCCATGTTCCCTTCTAGGCACTGCACACGCATGCTGGCTGGCCTGACCTCAGTTTCCCTCTGTTGCTCTGGCTGCTTCTGCTTCACCCTCTGAGGCTCATCCCCCTTGTTGCTTGTGGTTGTGGATTGTTCATTCTCAGTGCTATGCCAAGTACTCCATTATGTGAAAATTCACAGCACGTTCGTTCTATTATTGATGGGCGTTTGGGTAGTTTCCACAGTTTGGCTGTTAGGAATAGTGCGGTGATGAACATGCTGGCACCTGTCTTCTGTTTTTTTGTGTGTGTGTTTTTTTTTAATTTTTAGAGACAGAGTCTCGCTCTGTTGCCCAGGCTGGAGTGCAGTGGTGTGACCTTGGCTCATTGCAACCTCAGTCTCCTGGGCTCAAGTGATCCTCCCACCTCAGCCTCCTGAGTAGCTGGGACTGCAGGTGTGTGCCAGCATGCTGGCTAATTTTTGTAGTTTTTGTAGAGATGGTGTCTTGCTCTGCTGCCCAGGCTGGTCTCGAACTTCTGGCCTCAAGCAGTCCTCCTGCACTGATTTCCCAAATCACTGGGATTACAGGCACGAGCCACCGCCCCCAACTAGCATCTGTCTTCTGGAACATATGTAAGCAATTTCTGTTGGGCGTGTACTTGCGCGTGGAATTGCTGACTCTCAGTTATGCACGTTTCTCTTAGAAGATCCTGCCAGTCCTTCATCCCAGACCCCGACCCCAGCGTGGAAAACGCAGTGCATCCTCATGCCTCGTGTTCACGGCTGTGATGGCTTATGATCAACTCGGAAGGCCCACAGTGTGTGGTGTGGAGTTTTGCAGGGGGCCGACCTGCGGTTCCTACAGACTGGTGTAGGAGCCAGTGACGCTGCCCACCTACGATCCAGACCTAACCTTGATCCTGTTCTCCGAGGCCACCTTACCAAAACCTTGGCTCACCCAGTCTTAGATGACTCACCCTGGGGGAAACCTGCCGCAAGGTCACGAGGGCACTCAGCCAGCCTACAAAGGGTACCATGGCAGAGAACTGAGGCCTCCTGCCAGCAGCCAGTAGCAGCTGACCAGCCACGAGGGCCCCTCCGGGAAGGAGAGCTTTCTATTTCTTCCTGCACCCCGTATATGTTGACATGATACGTTTTTCTTTCTGGTTTCCCTTGTGATTTCTTTGGTCCGTGGGTTATTTGGAAGTATGGTTTAATTTCCAAACATTTAGGGTTTTCCTCCAGAATTGGTTGTTTCTGGTTTCTGGTTTTAATTCCATTGTGGTCTCAGAATTTACTTTGCTGACTTCCCTCTGTTTAGATTTGTTGAGCCCTGTTTTGTGCTTCATGGTTGGGGGATGACGATTGCATGTGCACGTGCAGATGTGTGTGGCCCCCACACGGTGTCTCCAGCTATCCCTGTCTTGCCTCTCCGTGCCCAGCGCACCCTTCTCAGCCCTGCTGTGTGACCCTGGAGCTGGGCCCTCCCTGTGCCCTCCTTTGCAGGTTGGCACAGTGTTTGGCTCTCACTGGAAGGAACTGGAGGGACTCCACAGGAGGGAGGGCCTGCCCTCCTGGTTCCAGTGTGCTTGCTTTTCCTGGCTTCCATGGTGCATGCCTGCCAAACTTACGGTGGGGGCGGGGGGGGCGGGGGCTCTCAGTGACAGTCTCCAGGAGTTTAGTGACACCCAGGTTCATTCATCATGGTGGGAAGGATTCCTGCTAAGCTTCCTTGTCTTTGTCCAGCTCCCAGGGGGTCTGCCTCCCTCCTGCCCCAGGGAGAGCTTCTGGGTGAGTCTCACTGGCACTCCTGCCCCGGGTTTCCTGCTCTCAGGCCTTGGCCTGCTGCACCTCGGCCAACTGCACCACCTGGCACATCATAGCCCCACTCAGGTCAGAGCTGCGTCTCAGCCGACGTGGGGTTCCGAGGTTCTCACGGGGATCCAGACTCAATGCTTGTAGGTTTGTTGTCTCAGTCCTGGAGGTGGAGGTTCTCCTGAGGTCTCAGCGGGAAGTCTCTTTACATGTTAGTGGAACCCTCTGTTCCTTTTGAATCATTCTTCGTGTTAAATGTTTCTGTCTCTTCACTGATACATGATGTATCAGTCGTCATGTAAGTATTCTGTGGCTGGTTTTGATTTTTTTCTCTTTATCCCTGGATTTCTGTAATTTGATAAGCTTTAGGGTATGTGTGTGTGTTCTGGGGTTTGTCAAGATTAGTAGGATTTGTCATTTTTATGCAATTTGGAAATATTCCAGCTATTCACAGACTCCTACCCTGCCTCCTACAGTCCCAGGTACTCGAATGGGCTGCTTGCTCAGGACTCATGGGTCCGTGAGTGTCTGCTCACCTTTTTCAGTTTGCGTTTCATTTTCGGTAGATTCTGTTTTCACGTCTTCAAGCTCACTGATCTTTCTTTTAAGCTGCTGTTACGCCATGGCCGTTTTCCGTATAAGCCATTGTATTTTCTCTTCTCTATAAATTTGGTTTTGGTATTTTAAAAAATGTCTTCCAGGTAGGCTGGTGCTCACACTGGTGATCCCAATACTTTGGGAGGTTGAGGCAGGGGGATTGCTTGAGCCCAGGAGTTTGAGACTAGCCTGGGTAACACAGTGAGACTTTATCTTTAAAACAAATTTAAAAAGCTAGATGCTGTGGCTCACGCCTATAATCCCAGCACTTTGGGAGGCTGAGGCCAGTGGATCACGAGGTTAGGAGTTCAAGACCAGCTTGGCCAATATGGTGAAACCCTGTCTCTACTAAAAATATAAAAAATTAGCCGGGCACAGTGGTGCACTCCTGTTGTCTCAGTTATTTGGGAGGCTGAAGCAGAAGAATCGCTTGAACCTGGGAGGCAGAGGTTGCAGTGAGCCAAGATTGCGCCACTGTACTCCAGCCTGGGCGACAGAGCAAGACTCCGTATAAAAAAATTAAAAAAAAATTAGCCAGATGTGATGGCACATGCCTGTAGTCCCCAGCTGCTCGGCAGGCTGAGGCGGGAGGATCACTTGAGCCTGGGAGTTTGAGGCTGCGGTGAGCCATGATCGCACCACTGCATTCCAGCCTGGGTGACAGAGTGACTATCTCAAAAAAAAAAAAAAAGCACACCAGTGTCTTCCATTTCTCTTC